AGCTGAGCTTCAGGTGTGGGGGGTCTGGGCCCAGAGTCTGATCTGGAGTGGAGGCTCATTTTCCAGACAAGAGGGGGTGGCATTGGAGGCCTTGGAGGAGGCCACAGGCCTAAGGGGACCACCCTGAAGTCAGTGCCTCCCTTAGGGGTTATAGATGGAGGGAGGAGGTGTCCCTGGGCCCAAGAGAGAGAGAGCTGATGACAAAAGCCTTCCCTGGTAGGTGGTAGCGGGTGTAGAGAGGGGACTGGCTGAATTTAACACCCGGAAAACAGCCCTGCCTTCTGGACCACAAGGCTTGGTCTAACTCAGTGGTTCTCAACCTTCTGGCCCTTTAAATGCAGTTCCTCATGTTGTGACCCAACCATAAAATTATTTTCGTTGCTACTTCATAACTGTAATGTTGCTACTGTTATGAATCGTAATGTAAATATCTGATATGCAGGATGGTCTTAGGCGACCCCTGTGAAAGGGTCGTTCGACCGCCAAAGGGGTCGCGACCCACAGGTTGAGAACCGCTGGAACTGGAGCCTGCAGCGTTGACCTTACCTTTCTCTGGGAAAAGGGTCATAGCAGAGAAGTTCAGAAGCCCCCGTGCTGCTCCCATTGGGGTTATGGTGGTTTTTTTGCTTTGCAGTGCTGTCCAATAGAACTTCCTGCGATGATGGGCATGTGCTATCCTCTGTTCAACACGGTGGCCATGAGCCACATGTGGCCATTGAGCCCTTGAAGTGTGGCTAGTGCAACCGAGAAACTGAATTTTGAATGTTATTTAACTTTAACCGATTTCATCTTAAATAGCCACAGGCAGCTCGTGGCTGCAGCGTTACACACTATTGGACAGCACAGCTTTCAAGAGTGCGAAGTACTTCCACATCCATGATCTCTATTGAGTTTCACAACAACTCTTTGAGGCAGGAATTCTCAGACCTACCTTATGGATGAGACAACTGAGGCACCAGTTGGAGAATCTCAATGAGATGAGACGTGCCCAAGGTCACCCAGCGGGGATGTGGCTGAGCTGCAGTCAAACTAGATCCCACTGACTCCCAACCCCGTGTTCTTACTGCTACCAAGTGGTTGATCGGAGAGGCTCTCGGCGAATGGTAGGAGCAGCCCACATGGTGGGAGCTCTTTCCAGAACCTTCCCCGGGCCTGCCCATCCCAAATTTGGTCTCCTCCCAAAGGTGGGGGTTTTGTGTGGAAAATCTGAGCAAACCTCTGCTTTGTTGTTTTGGAGCAGAGTGAAGGTAGAAGAGGCACAGCCAGAAGGCAGGGGGTTGGAGGAGCAATGCCTTCTATTTCTTACTTTCAAAGCAATTTTGAAAGTTTTCTTTTTGTTCCCCTTTCTTTTGGCATCGTGCTAACTCCATAGAGCTGAACTCCCAAAGCTGAAACTTTCCACATGCCCAATCCTCAGTGAGGAAGAGCGTGCCAGGGGGGTATGGAGGAGTCCAAATTATGAATGGCCAAGGCCTGGCATGGGCCAGTGGGCACAGGGAGGCTGGTAACAGCATCCATCACCTTTTGGTTGTCTGAGGATGCGGGCTGTCATCGGGGAGGGGCCAGGGTGTGTCCTCGATGGCTAAACATGGACAGTGTGGCATCATGCTTGATAACCATTCACCAATAATCAATCAAACTTGGACATCGTGGCTTCCTGCTTCCTAACATTTCACCAATAATCAGTCAATGAAGACCCATTCAAGCCTCATCCCCCATCCTGGGGCAATTTCTCCAGGGTAAGGCACAATCTCTGCTCTTGAGGAAAAATGGAAGTGATGAGGCTCTAGAAGAAAAACATAAAGACTTCTGGGCCCTCCGTGTTTGGGAGTTTTCCCTCTGAAAATCCCCACAGCGCTGCACAGAACGGTCTCTCCCGGACCTCGGCGTTCCCTTATTTGCTTTCAGCAGCAGCCCCTGCCATAGGCCATTCTGAGTTGGCTGATTTCCTTTCAGATCCTTCAGTTTTGAAATACGTACTCATTTGACAGAGGAATGTTTTGCTTCAGTCTCCTTCAAGCAAAAGGATACGTGACACTATTGCCCCCTCCTTCCCAAAGTGTCCCTAACTTCTGGATTTCATGCACCGGTAAAATATCCAAAAACGTCTTAGGCACCAAAGTGCAGTAGCCAGCTTTCCACTTGGAGGGTGTTAGAAAAACAAACTACCATTTGCCATCCATCTTTATTAAAAAAGAACATTTTAATTAAACCAAAAAAAAATGATATAAGTTCAAAATAAAAGACATTTTTAAATGGGGGAAAAGGCATTACAAAGAGCTCAGGAAACTGTTTTTATTTCCCTTATTTTATGGTAGACCAGTAAAAACTGTCGTAAGAATGTACCCTTTCATAGGCACTTGGAGGGGCCATTTTGAGGTGATTTGCGGGGACTGGAGAGAGGGGAGAGGAGTTTATGCTCCAATCCCCTAATGCAGAGGCTCAGCTCAGACCCGCACTCAAGTGTTTACTTTAGCGCGGAAGTCGGTTCTTGCTGAGACTTATGAAAACAACTCAAGAGCGAATGCAAATGAAGTCCGGGAGGGCTGGCTCAGCACCTCTGCAAACCTGAAACCTGCTGGAAAACCTTCCCGAGAAGATCTGATCCAGAAAGGTTATCTTCCCATGGAGGTTTTTCCGCCAACAACCCGGCTGCTTTGGAACCCTTTTAGGATTTTTATTTACCACAATGTTATATACATATTAAATGCCATGTTTATATCTCGCCCCCCCGCCCCAACTACCCATTTTCCATGAGCTGTTCGTTGTACCAAGCGAAGCGTGCCAACCCCGCTCTGCCTGAGGACCTAACTCCCTGCGTGGCCCGGGGCTTCCGTTGTTATGAGAAACCACCACGGGGCAGAGCTTCCTCCACGCAGGACCAGTCTTGTTGTCTTTGCATCCCCGGCACCCACTAGGACCAAGAGGGTGCTTGCTAACTGTTTGCAGAATGTATTGGCAAGGAAGGCAGAGCCAGAAGTAAGCGAGTCACCGTGAGTCAGGAATTTGGGGCCGTGGGTTTTAGAGAATGGAAGATGTTAGAGTCGAGAATGGGCTGTCCTCAGAGCCCAGGAGGGGAGGGGAGGAAGCTAGACTGGTTTCGGAAGGCCATCTTAAAGGCAGGGACCACCCACTCAAAGGAGGAAGCAACACCTAGACTGGGGGGAGGGGGCTGCTGCATGACCTCCTCTCGCCCACACCAGGCTTTGAGTCTCTGCCAGGAGAGAGGGGTGGCTTCGAGGGACTAGGAGTGATACAGCGTTTGTGGTCCACATAAAACCACTCAGGCCTTCCCTTTCTATTCCCTCCCTAAACCGGGCAGAGTCCTGGCCTGGGCATACCTCCTTCCGCAGTGTTTGCTGGCCCCGGCTTGGCTGAGGGGCTGGTCTCCCGGGAGGAGGGGTAGTGACAGGGACCTGGCAGATAGGTGGGGGCTGCAAAATCTGCCTCTGCTTCCCTCACTGAATACACTCCCACTCTGTCGCCAGACCCCAGCCTTCCTGGGCCTCTCACAACTCCTAGGACATTCCATGTTCCTTCCAGGCTCCAGAGCTTTGTGCTTGCCTATCCCTCTGCCTGAAGGAGTCTGTCCATAGCTTTGCCCGTCTGCCTCTTTTGCACCAGTCACATCTCACTCTTCAGAGCAGCTTCCTCTGACCACTGCATCTAAAGCGCCTGATTGGACACAGACCAGTACATCACCCATGATACTGCCTGAAGCAACATCATGCTACTGTTTTCTTATTTCTTCTTGGTCGCCCTCACTCGACTGCAAGCTCCATGTGGACAAAGACTTTGCCTGTAGTGCCTAGCACACAGTAGGGGCTCAGCAAATATTTGTTGAAGGAATGAGTGACAGACAGAGGAGACACTGGGTTTAGAGGATCCAGCATGAGCCTGACTGTGCTCTCCTGGGTTCCCACCTGTTCCCAGGGGAAGTCCTGGGAGAGATGAGCAGGGCCCAGCACTCCAGTGTGTGCTTGTATATGACTCTCCCTTGGTTACTGGTCACTGGAGGTGACTCTGTTGCTGCCTGAAGCAACATTATGCTACTGTTTTCTTGTTTCTTCTTGGTCGCCCTCCCTCGACTGCAAGCTCCATGTGGACAAAGACTTTGTCTGTAGTGCCTAGCACACAGTAGGGGCTCTGATGTTGCAAGGTGATGAAGGGCAGTGAAGAGAAGTCATGGCCCCTGTGGCCAGTGGCTGCTGCACAGTGCTGGCTTGCAGGAAGGGGTCCAGGTCAGCCCCACTTTACCCCCAGGCTGGACCCAGGGCCTAGGACAGAGAATCCTCCCAGCTCCCAGTCAGGAGTACTACCACTTGCTAAGCAGGGTGGGAGCTTCAGAGCAGATGATTTCAAAAGAGGAAGAAGAGGAGGGACTGTCGCGCTGAAGATGCCTTTGAAAGACCCTCAGTATCCCCCAGCCTCCTTAGCCCATCCTCGTGTGATTCATGAGGAAACAGATTCAGTGAGGTCAAGATCACATGACTCGTGGGAGACCAACAATTCAAACCCCCAACTTTCAGGCCAGTGTTGAGCCCTTTCCCATGAAGCAGACTCATTCTTCATTCGTTTGTTCATTCATTCATTCAGTATTAATTGAGAGTCTACTCTGTGACAGTCTCTATTCTGAGTTCTTGAACTACCAGAGGGAACAAAACAAAACATCTGAACTCTGCCTTCATGGTAAAGAGACACAACAAAGTGGGGTCTTGAGTGCATAGCACAATGTCAGGAGGTTCTGCTGGAGGTGGCGGTGTGAGCGCCTCCACACCTCTGGTCATTCCCTCTTTGGTTGTCCAAAGATGACAGGCAAACCTCCCTCGGAGACCTGTGGGTGGCGGGGAGAGAGAAATGGGGCCAGGGAGCCTTCGGAGGCCAGTGGATGGCTTCCTGTCTGAGTGGAGGAGGCCAAGCAGCACAAGGCAAGGGGCCCTTCTGACAAGTGGGTGTCAGGCCCCCTGCCCCTGCCCTCACCCCTCTCCCTGTCTCCCTAGCTGTGTGCCAGCCGCCGTGCCAGAACAGGGGCTCCTGCAGCCGGCCCCAGCTCTGTGTGTGTCGCTCTGGCTTCCGCGGAGCCCGCTGCGAGGAGGTCATCCCCGAGGAGGAATTTGACCCCCAGAACTCGAGGCCAGCTCCCCGACGCTCAGCCGAGGGTTCACACAACTTGCGCAGGAGCAGCACAGCCAGAGAAAGCACAACGGCCAGAGGGCGGCCACTGACACCACAGCTGCCACCAGCCAGGTAAGTCTCCTCCTCAGGGGGGACGTGGGGCCGGGGGCTTCTTCCTCAGGACCATTTGGTGACAGTCTCAGAGAAGGCCGGGCTGTCCTTCCTCCCCCCTCCCTGCCCCCACCAGTGGTGTGGAGGGCAGGAGAGCAGGGGTTGGGGTTGGGGTTGGGGTTGGCATAGGCCAGTGATGGCGAACCTTTTGAGCTCGGCGTGTCAGCATTTTGAAAAACCCTAACTTAACTCTGGTGCCGTGTCACATACAGAAATTTTTTGATATTTGCAACCATAGTAAAACAAAGACTTATATTTTTGATATTTATTTTATATATTTAAATGCCATCTAACAAAGAAAAATCAACCAAAAAAATGAGTTTGCATGTCACCTCTGACACGCGTGTCATAGGTTCGCCATCACTGGCATAGGCTTTGCCAGGCTGAGGTGGGCAGGGGAGGCGGGAGGTAGAAGAAAGCTGAGGAGACCAGGCTCTCTTGTTTCCATTCCTGGCATTGTCACTTCCTAGGTGGGTGACCTTGGGCAAGTTACCTCTCTGACTCCTCCTCAGTGGGGTGGAGGCCATGGTGATAACCATAATCATGGAGTTGTTGTAAGACTAGATTAGTCAACACAAGGAAAGGGCTTAGCACAGGGCCTGGCACATAGTAAACTCTTTATAAATGTCTCGCCTTCTCCTCCCCCTTCTCTACCTGTGGTCTCTGTGATGCAGGAAGGACTCGCCACCCAACGCTAACCTCTCTCCTTGGAGGGGCCGAGCAGGAGCATGTGGGGAAGGGAGTAAAAGAAAAAGTGGGCAAAGAGAGTGTTCACGGGCAGCGTTCCCTGGCCTGCTTGCCAGCTAAACTGGCTCGACTTTTTCTAGCTCAGGACAGGAAATCTGAACTTTGTAAACTGGTCCATTTCTAGAGAGCTGTGTTTTCCTTTTGGTTTTTCAGGTTAATTTTTCCATTCGTTTTCTACTTGGGAAGTTCTTTGTGAAATGTTGCAACCTTGTCTTGCTGAACTAAGGGGAAAAAGGGGGTTTGCCCTTTGGAGGCCAGGAGAACCAGGGAGAGAAGGCTGATGGGGAGGTCGGGTCCCAGTGGAAAGCTTGGGAGAGAAAGGAAAGGAGCTTGAGATTGTCTAGCAACTCTGAAGAGGGGACCAGGCTGATCAGGGTCCTGGTAAGGTGGGGTTCCAAGGCCCGACCACCCAAGCAGGTGGTTTCCAAAGGCAGCCGGGAGCAGAAAGAGCTGAAGGATGAACTCAGGTCCAAGCCCCGGGAGTTCCAAGGTCAAAACCAGAAGAGCCAAACCCTTAGGCCAAGGCCCAGGGATGCTGGGCAGAGAGAGCGGCAGAGCTAGGTGGACAACGCAGGAGCAGGGCCTGAGCCTTGTTCTGATTAGTCCCAGCTGAGGGTCCCAGGTGGTGGGAAGGCACTTGAGGGAGCCCTAGTGGTACCAGCTCCAGGGCCAACCAGGAGCAGGCTGGGAGCAGAGTCCTTTCAGCTGAGCTTTCCCCTGCAACCTCTCTTTTGGCTTGTGTGATTCATTCATTTCATGATGCACTGATCTTCCGTATGTATGTGAGTGTATGTGTGTGTGTGTGTGTGTGTGTGTGTGTGTGTGTGTGTGCGGTGCTTGCATGCAAGTATTGGAGGGTGGTTGCTAGGCAGGTCATTCTCCACTCACACCCTTGAGTCAGAGCTGTGACATCCCCTGCCCCATCTTGCCAGCCCACCCTGCTCCTCGCATTCTTCAGGCCCATTCCTGCTTTCTCCAACCCCTCCTCCCCAGTCACTTCTACCCAGCGGCCTGCCTTCCTGCAGCACACACTTGGCATGGATCTCTGTGGGTCTGGGCCCTGTGTCTGCAATCAGACTGTGTGGCCTGTGCCCTGGGAGGCAGGGACTCCGTCTCACACCCTGGATTTCCCCGCAGCTCCTCCCATGGTCCTAGCTTATAGAAAGCACTCAGTCTGCATTAGTACTCTATCACTTGGTCCAAACTGAAGACTTGGCATTGAACCCTCACCCCGTGCCTGGAACGGAGGGCCTGGCTCAGAGTGCAGGAGGAGGGGAGGCCCCTGCCTCCCTGTGTAGCATTTTTCACTCTGCCTTGGGGTGGTCTGTTTATTTGCTTACTGGACCAGGAGCTCCTGAGAACAAGGGACTGCTCTTCGCCACAGTCTTCTATCCACTCATTTATGAACGTGGCCCTGGTACCTAACACGGCAGGTGCTCTATCAGTAGAAGTTGAATGAATAAATGAATGAGGCTTAATGCTGGGGAGAAAGGAGGATGAGCTAGGGAGCCCCTGATCTCCCAGCGAAGGTTTCACATGTGCAAGAGATGCTGGGGGGACGAAGGCCCAGGGTGAGGTCCGTGGCCCACAGCAGGGCCACCCTCTTTGAGCTTCACAGGCTCCCTGGCCAGGGGCTACTGTGATGTTTTTAATGAGCTGCAGCCTCCAGGCCAGCAGTCTCTCTCTGCTCTGGGACCTCAGTGCCATGAAATCTGGGAAAGTCCGAGTGGCCCGCTGTCGGCCCAGCTGTGTTTTGCTTTGGGAGGCCAAATCCTGCTTGCCTTGTGGTGTCAGACATTTCCTGTGAGCATAGCCAGGTTTCCCAAGCAGCCGCTTGCCTCTCTCCTGGTGGCAACTTGGACAGGCCCTCAGTGTCCAGCTAGAGCAGTGGCCAGCAAACTGCGGCTCGCGAGCCACATGCGGCTCTTTGGCCCCTTGAGTGTGGCTCTTCCTAAGCCTTAGGAGTACCCTAATTAAGTTAATAACAATGTACCTACCTATATAGTTTAAGTTTAAAAACTTTGGCTCGCAAAAGAAATTTCAATCATTGTACTGCTGATATTTGGCTCTGTTGACTAATGAGTTTGCCGACCACTGAGCTAGAGGGAGTGACATGACTCAGGGGCATTCTAGGAGCAAGAGAGGGGTACAAATGTCCAAGAGGAGGAGACACTGCAGGGGTTGGTGACAGCCAGAGGCCCTCTTTAAGAGAGAATTAGATGGAGGCCAAAAGACTTGCGTCCCGGAAGGAAGATGAGAAGGAGGGGCCAGGAGAGTCTGAGGCAGCAGGCAGCACGCCCTACGAGAGCCGGACATGGCTAGATGTTGTCCAGCTGTGGCCTGCGCTGACTGCTCCTGAGCTCTGGGTCCAGGCTTGTTCCCCAAGTCTGGGCAGAGGGCCTCCCCACCTGGGGAGCAAGAGCCAGGCAGCTGAGGAAGGGCCTTAAGAGATCAGGAAGGGCGTGGTTACAACAACCTGAAACCAGCAGACCTGGGAAAGCAGTGCTTCTCAGTGCTTCTCAGCTCCGCAAAGGGAAGTGGATCGCCTGGGAACTTGTTAACATGCAGCTTCTGATTCAGCAGGTCTGGGTGAGTGTCAGGTCTCAGGTGATGCTGCTGCTGCTGGTCCGTGTACCTCACCATGAGTAGTGAGGGTTCTAGCCTGGGTTTTTGGACAATCCTGGGTTCCAGTCCTGGGATTTATTTACTACTCATCAGCTGTGTGATAATAGGCAAGCATCCTAACCACTCTGAGTCAGTATTCTCTACCTGATAGGATTGTAGAGAGGATTATATGAGATCATATGGGTAGAGCACATCTTATGGTGCCTGAGTTCATGTTCAATACCCGTTAACCATCAGCTGGCTGGTTCTCTTTGCCTTGGGGACTTGAGTGGATAGAAGACTGTGGCAAAGAGCAGATAGAAAGTCAGGGTGCATACATATGGCTGTGCATGTGTGTGCGTGTGTATGCACGTGTGTCTGTGTGTGCAGACCTACTAGCAGATGTAGCAGTAGCACCAGTGGTGGCTTTGTGTCAGCTTGGTTGTTCCATGAGGACCAGTCTCATCGGCTTTATGGCAGATGGGGTCAAGGTGATGGGGTCAAGGTGAGGTTTAACGACATTTCTCAGAATGGGAAGGACTTTCACTAGGTTTGCTCCTTAGCCTGACCTAAGTCAACCAGGACTTAGAGGTTGACCCCTGGGGACATCTAAGCCTGTTTAGTCAGTACTTGGGCAACATGGGCCTGGAAGACAGTGCTGAGCAAAGCAAACGGGATGGTGGGGAGGTATCTGGAATGGTGTGGACCCCGTGGTGGTGGCTCTCAGTGGGCCACTTCTCCAGAAGCCAGCTCTTCTCTTTACATCCCCTGGATTAATTTTCTATGCTGAGATAACAATTTGCCACAGTTCTATAGTTCAAACATCTGGTACTGGTCTGATCAGGCTAAAGTTAAGGTGTCACAGAGGCTGTAGGGGAGAATCTGATTCCTGTTCATTCAGGTTGTTAGCAGAATTCAGTTCCTTGCAGTTGTATGACTGAGGTCCCTGTTCCTTTGTGGTAGCATCTACAAGCTGCCCACATTCCTTGACTTGTGGCCACCTTCTTATCTTCAAAGCTAAGCAATGGCAGATGAAATCTTTATGTTTTGAATCCCCTCTGCTTCCTCTTTGGCTGAATCTCTCTCACAGACTCTTGTTTTCTCCACTTTAAGGGCCTATGTGATTACATTGGGCCCACCTGAATAACCCAACTTAATCTCCCTAGTTTAAGGTCAGCTGATTAGAAACCCAAATTCCATCTGCAATCATAATTTCCTTTTGCCATTTCGTGCAACATGTTCAAAGGTATAACACCAGGGGACAGAGATCATGGGGGCCAGGCACAGCCACCACTGCAGCCCATTCCAGCTGGGACCCTCTGTCTGAAGTGGACAGCTCCATTGTCAAGGGCTTGCCACAAGGGCGGCCCTACATGATCCGGCCCCCGTAAGATCTCTGATGTCAATTCTCACCACTTGCTCTCCTCACTCACCTGTTTCTGCCACTGGTTTTCCCCCAAATGTTTTCACCTTAGGGCCGTTGCACTTGCTGTGTCCCTCCGGAACACTGTTCGTGTCCTAGGTCTGTCATAACAAATTACCACAAACTGAGTGGCTTACAACACCAGGAACTTATTCTCTCACAGTTCAGGAGGCCAGAAGTCCGAAAT